CTTTAATTAATGAGCAATGCAGCCGTCATACTGACGAGGTTCAGTTGTGTTGTTGAATGGGAATGCGTGCGACTTGATGTACCGAAACATCCCTGTTCTGTTGATTTTTTGTTATATTTTGCATATATTACCACTGTGAACTTGATTATATGTAATAATTTGTAGTGGCTTTTTAGTAGTAGCGCCAAATTTCCCCACACCGATCGTTCCGGTAATCTTATTTGTTGATATCAATAGCATTTTTTGGTGGTCCTTTAGTACTATATGACATAAACGACGTTATCAACACACTGCATCATATATATATTTGTTAGATGATATTTGACAAATTTGTGTTGTATTAACATTATTGGCATTTAATAACTTTTTTTTTTCAGATGTGTTTCTTTTTCGAAAAGTTTACGAGTACTTCGTCAAGATCAAGAAGGTACGTTAGAAGCCCCAAAAAAATACTTTCATACCAGTTTTATTTTAAATTTTTATGTTTTTTAAAGTTAGTTTTCCGTGTTTTTTTCCTTCTGTCAGTTTCAGAATATTTTAGTTGAAAGAGTAGTTAGAAGTCAAAAAAGGATTTGGGATTTTTTTTCAGTGATTTTTAATTTTCGATTTTTTAGAAGCCCATAATACTTCAGAGTGTTCTGAAAATTCTTTATTCGCGGTTTTTGCTGCGATTAAAATCATGTAGGTTTAATTGGAGTAATTTTCAGCCCGAAAATGGTATTCCTTTGCTTGTGGATGCAATTGACCGGATTGTTAAGGAGCGAAACGAGCTTACATCGTTGCATGCATGCCTTCTTTGTCTGTGCCTTAAAGCGCGCAATCACGAGCCAGCTCTGCCATTCCTTCATCTTGGTATAAATAAAATAATGAAGGAGGTAAGTAACACTTTTTGGCTTAAGCCAACTGTAGCAACCAGGTTGACCCTGGAAGCCCAGATGGCAAAGGCGCGATGGATTACAGCATGAAAGAACTGTATGAGAAAAGAGAAGGTAAGAATGAGATAAGACGTTTCGATCCATTAAGTCATATACGCCTTAAGTAAAAGACCCCACGGGCCGTTGGGCCCTGTGGGCGAAAGAAAGTATAAACCAGTAGGGGCTACATCGGTACTCGATGACTCTGAATAGGCCGTCCATAAGACGGCGTTAACTCAACACCACGCGACAGGACCTCGTGGCAGTATGACGGTTGCAGTGCTTAATGGGAAAGAAAGACAAAAGAGAAAGACGACAGGAAGAAACAGAAGAGGAAACGATATGATTGTGGGATTAGAAGGAGTAAAAGAATAGGTTGAAGAGGGAAGGGTAAAGAATGTAGGAAAGTTAATCGAATTTTTGAAATTTTGACAATTAAAGTAATTTTAAAGTATAAAAGCAATGTAAATTTCCTAACTTTGTTTTCAGTAAAAAATATTTATACATCAAAAAAGACGAAATGCATGCTTTACCTTTGGTTAAAAGAAAAAACACAATACCTTGCTACTTCGAAGCACTGTGCAGCAGATCTGTCTAAGCTGTTTTACAAGCCGGGGATTACGGATTCAGTAGTTTCTTTTTTACAGATTCCGGAGCACATGGAAGGTCCGTATATGAATCCGAAATGGGTTCTGCTCTATTTTTATTATGGTGGTTTAATTTATGGTGCTCAAGGGCGTTATGAGGAAGCATTTGAAATGATGCAGAAAGTATGCAGCATACCAACTGTTGTCACAAGTTCAATCCAGGTTCACGCTTATAAGGTACCATTTATGTTTTTATCATCCCGAGTTAGTTAGTTCATACGATTATCACGAGAATTTTTGGGCCGAAACATTCCTTTCCAGTTGGAATTTTGCCAAAAAAACAACATTATCTCTTTTAGAGAATTTTCAATTTATAATTTTTTGTATAATTATGACGATGGGCCGAATTACGGGGCCGTAAGTGTGGAGCTGCGGAGGGCACGCACCCAAACTAATAAACAATCCATCATTAGTACAGAAGCAAGGACCCCTCCCCCCCCCCCACAAAAAAAAATCAGAAAACAAGCC